GCTTCTGAATTTACTGATGTGAAATTGGGGAAAAGCTACCAATAACCATGCCTGACGATCATCGATGTCACATAGCAAGAACCCATCTCTTTGCAAATCATTGAAAAACAAAGATAGTTTGCTAACATACACGTATTGTTTCAAATCTTAAGAGAAACATTCTCCTACAGAATCTCTAGCAATACGTTATTTCTCCTCTCTTGATAGTGAAATTTTAAATACGTTAATTGCCCGGTAAGGCTCACAGTTTGAAATTAAATTGTCTCGAGCAATGAAATATTATTTATTGAAGGCCGTACGGTGACATATAGTTGTTAATTTCTGTGTCATTTGGTCTCTTATGGAGAGTTGTGTCATAGGCAATCATACCACATCTTCTTATTTTCATCTTAAGTTTTCTTTTGAGTGGTTTGTTGACTGATGTGTCTTTTTACCGCTTTTAGTCATGGTTTTGTCGGTCTGTCTTCGACTTATCGCCAGTTCCATTGTAACTAAGGTATCTCCAATTCATTTTTGTTTGTGTGCATTAAACCTAAATAGGAAAGAAAGTTGAAAACCAGACATTCATCGATTTCAATACCAATGATGACTAGTAGATAACTGAGTTTTCAAACATTCCGATCTCACAACAAACAAAATTACTCATATGAAAAAATTAAAAAGACAGACATTTCTGACATGGATTTCGGATATGAATTAAATATGTCCTGAAATCAATATCATACTCTTGCTAATGAGAGGTCAAGAATTAAGCGCTCTTTACCTGAGGCATTAACTGAAACGGTTAAAGGGTTGACAATGAAAGGAATTTGATCTTTTAATTTTAAAACAGACCGATTGAGCGCTTAATTCTTGACCTTCAACATGTCAATGAGTTTGTTGACAAAAAAAAGTTTAAATTTGAAGGTGTGTTTAAAGCTTTATAATTTGTGATTGAACATGGGTTCATGTTTAAATTTGATTTGACCTCAGAATCAAGCATCTTGTTAATGGGTGTTCGACAAATAAAGCGTACGATCAAGCAGAACGATTATTCTTCAACTGCACAGCAGAAGGACTGTTAAAAAATGGAATTAAATAACCGCTCGAAATAACATTTAAAACAAAACTGTTGGCTTTCAAAACGTCTTTTCAAGAGGCAAATTTTTTCTTTAAACTACCGACTTAAAATGATGAATTAATGTAACTTTTATCAAATAAAAAAAATGTGTACTTAACTTCTTCACCATGCAGACTGGTGTCTCGTTGGCAGGGCAGTTGTAAGCGAACTGACCTTCTCCGTTGCAGTAATAGCACCTGGTTTCCTTTTTATCTTCGAAATACTCTAGCTGGGTGTACGCCTGCTTTGCGGGTTGATACTGATATCTAGGTGGTTTTTCTGTACGTGCTGGGCCCACGAAAAAGCTCGTTTACTGCTGTTGACTTAGGATGAGGACTGTCTCTGTTGTTTTTCCTCTCTTTTTCTCTTCTCTTTATTATTGCCCGATATTCGGCTTGTCTCAATTTTGTCGCGTCGTTGGTAAAAGGTTAAAAGGTCGTCTGTGTATTCTTCTACCACGTCCAACTGTAGTTATCTGCAATTCGAATAATTGTATTCCTTTGTAGCAACTCCTGACTCTGCTCAAGCAATTTTTTAACCGAACCATACTCATCTCTCTCCAATAAAGACAATAATTTGTCAATCTCTTCTTGGCGGGAAGAATTAAATTGAATTTAATTCTTCCCGCCAAGAAGAGATTGACAGAGCATTGTTATTCATGTTGTCTGCCGTTTCCTTCGAACTTGAACATATGACTGGACGTGTAAAAAGGTCTTGAAGGACGGGTGAAGGTTACCGTTTCTCCTATTTCAGCAATTATTTACTGTTTGTGCTTGACCAACGCGCTGTCTAGTTTCTGTGAAAATAGAGATAAGGCATCTGCTGGAGAAAACTCGGACTCGGTTACTATTGGCTCTTTAGGTCTAGCCGTAAAATCATCCCCCGACTGGTGACTAGCGGGAGAATGCTAGACTTCATCGTCACTGTTTTACATGTTTTTCAGTATACCTGTCGAATTGGTTAAGTGTGAACTAAACTCGACAAATGAAAAAGGCGGGAGAACAACAATTTGTAGTCGAGTCGACCGAACTACTTACAAAAACAAATGCGAAAGCAAATACATACGCTAAAGATTCAAATTAAAAATAAATAAATTTAATCGATTAATTAGCACTTGCAACTGGACTCTTCTCCCTATAATATTTGGTCAACAGTGTCAAAGTAGCAATGTCCTTATATACATATAAAAATAAGATGTGGTATGATTGCCAATGAGACAACTCTCCACAAGAGATCAAATGACAAAGAAATTAACTACTATAGGTAACCGTACGGCCTTCAACTATGAGCAAAGCCCATACCGCATAGTCAGCTATAAAAGGCCCCAAAATGACAAATGTAAAACTATTCAAACGACAAAACCAACGGCCTGATTAATTTACAAAATAATGAACGAAAAACAGATATGATATACAGTAACAAACGACAACCACTGAATTACAGGCTCTTGGCTTTGGGAAAGGCACATACAGAATGTGGCGGGGTTAAACATGTTAGCGGGCACCCAACCCTCTCCCTAACCTAGGACAGTGGTGTAACAGTACAACATTTGAACAAACTATAAAAATCAGTTGAAACGGGCTTACCTCATCAGATAGATACAAAGCAAAAACCAGTAACAAAAACACAGAATGGACGTGGCAGGGTACTTATACATCCCCACAACAAAAAGACGCCAAGTACAGATCTGAGAGTACTTGCAATTACTGACAGCTAGTTCAAAGCCAATAACAATTAATAAAAAAAATCATGCATCTAGGACTAAAATGTATTCTAAAATATGAAAAGTCAAATTCCTACTTAGAGCTGCGGAACTACTACTACTGCCTAGAAAATTAACCCCATAACCTATCAGATATATTTATCCGTTACCCTGTCAGAAATGCTTACCCTGCCTTGAATATTGACCCCCTGTATGAACTACTAATTATATATAACTCTTAATAGAAAATATAAACCCTGTCAAAATACTATCCCTTTAAGAATAGTAACTCTGTCGGAAATAGAAACTCTGGGTCTTAAATTTTAATCCTTTTAGGAAAACTTACACTGTAAAGGGGGAGGGGTGGAACGTGGCTGATATAAGTTTTCTGACATGGTTTTCGAATGTGAATAAAATCTGTTTTAAAAACAGATTGAATATCCAACATTATTCATATATTTACCATTAAGGTTCATCTATACACTTTAACAAAAATGGCTGTGTTTACACCATGAAATTTTCTCTGAGTACAGACAAAACTGTGTAATTTTAAAAGTTTTAATGCCTGGCAGCACCTAGATAAATTAATGTTACATCCAATTTATGTTCTAAAAAGTTAAAACACTTTATGGATTTTGATGAACATTTTCTTTCCTTGCCACAGAAGATGGTGAAATAAACAAACACCTGAGTTTTCTTTGATACAGTCCACTCATTTACACTATTTAAATCACCTTTGTTGTGAGTGGATTTCTATTGTCCCTCTATTGTCCATATCAATCAATTAAGGAATAACTGTACTGTAGTTGAAGAGTTGCCACCGTCAATTGGCGATTTGACGGTCGCAAATGCAGTTTTACTGGCGACGCGTAGCGGAGACAGTAAAACGGATATTTGCGACCGTCAAATCAAAATTGACGGTGGCAACTCTTCAACTACAGTACTGTTATTCCGATTCTAATGCATTACAAAAAGAAATAATACGTTAAAGCTTGAAAAAATGTATAAATTTGAAATTTAATAAAATTCCGCGAAACTTCATGAATGATTTTGGCGCAAAGACGTCATGGCTAAACATGACGTCATACAGATGAAAACTTACAAACTGAAGGTTATTTCGTTACTTCTACGATTAAAATTTGGATAAAATCACATCAAAACGGCAATTTTGAGGTAGGTGTTGTTTTATTTTCTATAACATTGTAGTAATCGAACATTTGATGATCCATGAATTCAAAATGGCGGGTCCCTCCTTAGTTACGACTGGTCAACTGTGGATTTGACGGTAACTTTTAGCCAATGAAAAAAATTGTTACATAAAAATTGCATTAGAATATGATAATATGATACAATACAATCATTACCTTAGGGGGACCATCTCAAAGATTTCACATGACTTTGTTTATTTTTACACCACCTATGGCAAGGAAAGAAAATGTTTAGCAAAATCCACAAAAGTTTTTTTCTTTTTAAAACACAAAATGAATATAACTTGTATATATCTAGGTGCTGCCAGGATTTAAAACTATTAGAATTACACAGTTTTGTCTGCATTCAGAGAAAATTTCATGGTGTAACCACAGCCATTTTTGTGGAAGTGTATAGATGAACCTTAAGTTGGTGGGGTTCGTGTTGCTTAGTCTTTGGTTTTCTATGTTGTGTCATCTGTACTATTATTTGTCTGTTTGTCTTTTTATTTTTGGCCATGGCGTTGTCAGTTTGTTTTCGATCTATGAGTTTGACTGTCCCTCTGGTATCTTTCGTCCCTCTTTTGTACGCGTTGCTGCTGGAGACTCTAAATGCCCGGAGTTACCATCCACTAAAATTGCTCCCTTTGGTCTCACTGGTATAATTTTATTGATTCAGTGCAATTGTATTTGCTGATGTATCGTTCTCTTTAATTAGATATGAACTAAATCATTCACATTATAATTTTCATTTCTTAATTGTGTTCAATCGTGGAAAGATTTTATAGGGTTTAATTGAAAATAAAATCTATAAAAAAACTTATTGTTTAATTGAAATACCTGTCATAAAACTTTGTTAAAAGCGCACGGAATTGTTATTTTATAGATTCATTGAAACTTCAATAGAATATACTGCAGATGAATTAATTGCAGTTTATCGAATGGAATTAATTTAAATGCGTTTTTAGTATTTTTCAAAACTTTGAAACTTAATATTTAATATCAAAATAACTGTCCATTGTTTCAGACAGTCATGCAAATGTATGAAATCGCTTTGATAATGAGTTTCCTTTTTCAAAACGCGAAGTTTACTGTTGGAAAATATCAGACGTGTAAGGAATCCTTCAGAGTAGATAAAAATAAGGAAATAAGATCAATGGATCTCAAGGTTATAGGGAGTATGTCTAAAAGTCAATGTGCAGCATTCTGTATGAAAAACAGTGATAACTGCTGTGAGATTACTTATGTAACATTGAGTGGAGAGTGTAAAGTGGAACCCTCTGGTTGCTGTCATACGGAATTTAACAACGTTTCTGGTTCAAACCTTCTACACACTAGTCGTAAATTTAGCGGTAAGTCAAATATAAGCTTTACGATCTTGCGTAAACCGAGAAACTGTTCTTAATGACAGAAGTATAGAATCCCTTGACTTACTACCATACATGCATGCTTTCAATATGGTAAATCCTTTAAGCTCTACACCTGAAGCTGCCATTACTTTCGCAGTCACAAATTATACCAGCTCAAATCTTTACAACAAACTCTCGAGATTTTGAGTACGTGACTGAATTAGTATGTCTATTTTTTAGCCTGGATTTTAAGTAATCGGATTGTCATCTGAAGAAATCCTTCAGTGAGTTAGGTGGACAGCTTTCACTGCATGCAGCAATATCTTTCTATCTGAACCCGTCCCTGTTTTTCACTTGGTTTCTTATTATCTGACTTTTACCATGAGAAGTTTGATGGATTTCAGCGTACAGCAGAAATCGCTAATCCATCTTGAAATTCTAATGTTTGTCTTGACTTGTATCGGGGTGCATGTTTGCTACTTGCTTTCTCCTAAGTTTCTAAAGAAAGTGTTGAGATATTATAATGGCTATGTCTGTCTCTTTATCCATAATTGATAATTCCTTGTTCATTTTATTATATCTTCATCAATAGTGGGGTGATATAGTAATCACTTTGTCCGGCCGCTGCTACCTAAATCTTCAACCCATCCTTAGCTTGAAAGAATTTTCCACGTCAAAATTTTAAGAATTACCAGCCCACTACCATCCATCTTTTACATGCAACAGATATGCGTTCGACGAATAATGTCTTTGACTTTTGTAGTTTATAACGTTTAGTTTAGTTGCATTTAGATGTGAATTTAAAGTCCTGTTAAGCGTTAATGGAAAAAAAGTAGTATTACATTTTCCAAGCTTTTGGTTGGCCTTTCGTGTATCCAAGACAGGTGAAGGAAGTCAACTCTGCACGCTGTGGTAGAATAAAAAGGTATAATATATTTTTCATTCATTTATGAATAACTGCAATGTGTTTATTTACAATATAGATTTTGAAACACATTGAAATATATTCTTGAGAGTTATTTGAAAAGACTTCCAAATTAAATTTTCATAAATTTGATGTAAAATAACGGTGGGCTTGGATACCATAAATAAGCTCCGTTTGAAGATAGTCATGCTACCATTTGACTTTAATTTCTAAAACAGAATGATAAAGTACTAATATAACACATAACTGTTTTGTCCAGGTTTTTCATAAAAAAAGTGGTCAATGTAGAAAATGTTAGTATTGTCTCCTATAGAAGAATAAATACTACCGCTATTTCCTATAAGTTACAAGCTACAACTGCAGGGTTGTTGGGAAAAATGTAAAACTACTCTAAAAGTAATTTTTTGTGCTCATGGAGGAACCGAAACCATTTTAGACACACGTGTATATTGAAAGTATGTACATTCATGTAATTATATTTGTACATGCGCAACTGTTATGGTTGAGGCTCTGTATACTGCATTTCAATTTTGATTCATTTATTGTGCATTCGATTTTATTCGTTTCTGTTTTAAAGACACATTTTGCTGCGTGTGCTCCAATGCTGGAGGGAAATACATAAAGAAGAAAGAAGTAGTAGGCATAAAAACCCATTCCGATAAAAATGACGGAAAGGACATCCGGAAATCATTTTGTTTTCCGAACTTTTATTCGTTTCTGTTTTAAAGACACATTTTGCTGTGTGTGCTCCAATGCTGGAGGAAAATACATAAAGAAGAAGGAAGTAGTAGGCATAAAAACCCATCCCGATAAAATTGACGGAAAGGACATCCGGAAATCATTTTGTTTTCCGAACTTTTCCCCCAAAAAAACTCAAGTGAATTATCATCAGGGAGGATAACAAACTACAGTTTGCCTACTAAGTCTACCTTTAGGGTATAGAGCCAAATGAAGTCGTACTGTGCGACTATAGGTCTCTATTCCCTATTGTTTTGGCCAATTATTTTCTATTTTGTAAACCCCATCAACACCCTCGTAAACTCTCATAAAAGGCCCTGTCTTAACAAAATGAAGTCAAACGGGAAAAACCATGCAACGCGAATTTTGATAAACAATAAACGAACAATAGGAACCAACGACTTCCACTGATTAACAGGCTTCTGACTAAACTAGAATGATTGTGTACCCTATATTTCTGTCCTCACGAGGCGATCGATAGTGGGCGAAATATAAGAAGTGGATTATTCTGGATAGATTTTTCCTAAGACATGTACATGAAGCATGTGGCGGGTTTAAACATATTTGATAGCAATCAATTTTTGTGTGCCTGTCAAAGCTCAGAAATGTAGTACGTGTTTGACTTACACCTAATGGGTTTGCTATTTGAAAAATAGTGTCAATTGCAGAACATTGATAGTTTCTGTATAATTGATACTAGGGACGTTTAAGAACTTGACGGTCTTTTTTGTGTCGTGTTTTTTTTATTACTTTGTTTTGTTTTTTAGGGAGGTGTTGCTGCTGCTGCTTCAAATATATTGTAGAGATTCCTTTTTATTGTTGAATATACTGTATATTGATTTTTAGAGGTCTTTTATTTGTTTGGTTTGCTGTAACGTTTATCGTATTTATAAAACAAATAAACCACATAACTTATGTTTTTCAGACTATATTTATACATTGTCTGTTACAAATGGTGGAGTTTTTGGGGATTGGACATACCAAGAATTTTGTACGAAAGGTCATTATGCCATTGGTTACAAAATGAGAGTATGTATATTTCCATGGTTACTATAAATGAAGCTTACGGTTTTTGATCGACGTCAACAGGAAGTACACACCAAATGGTGTGTTGGCAGGAGAGTTTCATATATACATTTTCTTTTAACGTAGAGAAGTATCAAAAGCGAAAAAAGAAATAATTAACCTTTCTTTTTTATTTTGGCAGGAGGAAGGAATGGTTGGATTTATGTAGTTGGCGTTTTTTTTTTAGTCTGTGGGATTTATTTTTCGACAGCTGCCTCAAATGCCAATTTCGATAAAACAGAAAAAAAAACGCTAATATCAAAAAAATTGTTTAAATCCATTTTTTTTCTTCAAAAAATGAAGCTTAGTCATTTTAAAAAGAGACACCATGCAAAACATATAATGAAATTAACTGATAATAGGTGAGGCGAGTAAGTGGTAAATCCAAAGACTGGCTCACTTCTTTGTGTTGTCACAAGGATATATTGATTGAGAGGGTATATGCTTCCTGATTTCGTCATAAATAAATTGGATAAGGTTGCTCGTGTACATAATTGACCTTTTCAACACCAATTTAAATCTAAATTTTGGAATCAATAGTACTATATATTGCTTCCATCTGTCTTGGTATGCTCGAAGATTAATAAAAATTAGAAAATATGAGTACATGTATATCCGCACGTTAACTCAGCATATGCATACATAACATTATTAGTTACAAAGTGAGCTAGTGAACTAATACGGTATAGTAAATTCCATATGGGATGAGAGAGTGTATAGAAGGTAAGATGATTCAATTGTTATTTTTCTTCTTCTTTGACTTACAGATTGAAGGGCCACATGCAGATAGTTCAGAACTTAATGCTATCGAAATGATCTGTGGAAGTAGAGGGGGTGTTCGTTGTGGTGACACCGCAAGTTCTGGTCAGCAGAAATGGGGAGATTGGACAGAGGAAGCACTTTGTCCAGCAAGAACATTGCTTGTCGCATTCTCTCTACAAGTGCATCAATACAATGTAAGCTGTTTATGTTTAAAACTTTTAGGAATACATATATGTTCTGGACTGAAATTATCACGTGTTTAGATGCATTGTTTAGAAATGATTAACTAACCAAGAAGCTATCAGATTTCTAAATAGAATATTTATCAATGGTACAAAAAACGCCTTGTTAAAAGTTTACGTTTTTCTGTGCATCTTAAGTTTTTCATTTAAGTGTTGTGGTGGTTTTTTTTTACCTTCTATGAAATGCGATAAGATGACTATCCTGCTTATTCCAAAGAATAAATAGTTTGATTACATTAATTGCAATGAAAAGGAAAACTCGATATTTCACAGGTGAAATAGAATCGATAATTTCACTTCTCTCACGTCACAAAACAATGCATATGGGTGTTTATTTTAAGAAAGATCGGGTTTCTTATGAGTTTAATTTATAATTTAATTTTGAATGTAACACATCTTCTGATTGGCTCAAAGTTTTTTGTCTATCAGCTTATAGACATAATTTTGTCATGTGACCTTGACGTCATCAAGGTTTTTTCATTATTTACCCCTTTAAAAATGGAATTTAGAATCAAATTATAAGGAATGACTGTAACATTTTTTTCTGTCTATTCGAAATAACCTCAAAAATGTGGTGCACACTTTTAAATTACACGCTTCGCGGGTTATTTAGTGTGCACCACATTTTACATGTTTTTTCTTCATAAACAGAAAAAATGTTACAATCATTCCTTAAATAGATAATAATGATTCTAATAAATTTAATACAAATTGACAAATACAATTTAACGGAAATTGATATTTGAAACATTAAAAAGAGAATTACGATGAATAAAGTAAGTAAACTTTCTATAAAACTGTATGCTTTTATCTTGATAAAGGGTAAATGTTTTAGCAAATAAAAATCATCTTTCAGGAAAGTAAATAAGATTGTACTTTTTGAATTAAGTACATCATCATTCATGGATTGCAGTTTAAATAAACCTTAACATACAAAAGTGTTTTAGGATTTTACTGTAATCCAGTCTCATTATTAAGATCTTAAATCGTAAGTGTGCTTCAATTCAACGTTAAGAAATACATTGCATATTTATTACGTAATTTCATTAACAGATCATCATGATTTTCTAGTTTTTGCCACTATTTTCATGGGAACGACTGATCTCAATTTCATGTGACGCTCTTTTGTAATTTTTTAAAAGTAATTTTTCAATGGTATATTGAGCTCGTGAAGCCATCAGAATAATCGGTAAAATGATCTATAACCATCTAATGAAAATTCAAAAGTATGTTTTTTAATTTCTTGTATGTTATCATTCAAGAATTGTGACGTTTTCAATACAGACAATACACTGAGCAAGATCGAAAATTATCTGCTGTGAAAATATGACTATAGGAGTATTATCAGTATCAGTCAGCGTTTAAATAATTCTTTGTGGACTGCAGCTTAAAATTCTACCAAATCGTCCTTAGATATTTTCCCCTACTCCTTAAGGATGTACACCTCTGAGGACCCAAAAATTTTTAGAATTAAACTTTTTTTCTTAACCTGATTTTTGGGTTTAAAAGACTGTAAAAAAATAATTGACGAAAAAAAAATCATATGGTGGTGCACTTCTTTTTTTGCTACGGCCATTTGAAAGTACCAAATTCTGATGACTTTCCCATTTTTCATCAATTTTTACCCATTTTTGTTTGGGCTATTATCATGAAAACAATCACAGTTTCACAATTAAACCTTTTTTCATACTTTCAATAAAGATGAAGTGGACCAATCTGAATAAATTTAACTTAAAAAAAACTATAGGTAGGTGTTATTATAAGAAAGTTTTATAAAATTTTGTTGCTTTTTCGTGTCAAATTTACCATGCTGCCAATTTTGTAAATTTGGGATTTTTCTCTTTTTTTTTAGAACAAAAAAGATATTATTTCAACTTCTTTGTTTTAAATGATTGAAAAATACATATCTAAGAAATTTGAAGAGAAAAAATTGATATGGGATGTACAAGTTTCTGGTAAAATCAATTCTTGTGCCCCTTGCCCATTTTCTCAACATTTTGGATAATGAGACTGACTTGATTGATAATGAAATTTGAAAATTTTATTACTCAAAAACTACTTATTGTAAATACACATTTTTTTCACAGAGTCAAGTTTGATTATAATATTTTTTAAATTCATTGATATTTTTCACTTGTATCACATGTTTAGTAACGAGATTTCAACGAGACTGAGACGTCAGAAGAATACATCAGTAACAAAGATTTATACATCAGATAACAAGGAGTTTATTTATTTTAGTTTTGTTAAGAACTGCTTCAACATTAAAGGTCTCAAATTTGGTCCAAACAATTCATCGTGGTTAGTGGAAGGGGTACAACGTACCGTAACTTGGGGAGTTATGTATATGATTTGAAAATGTAGTAGGATTTGATCCATTTGTAGGAAATTGAAAATACATCTTTTCTGCATTCAGTCCTCGGGTATTATCATTTACAAAACATAATTTTTTCGAGCTTGCCTTTCGATAATAATGGTTTGCTGAATAAATTTATTGGCATTGGAAAAAATAAATAAAACACATTATTACCAATTTTAAATTTAGTTGTATGCACAAACTTACACAATATTTTTGTTTGTTTGTTGTTTTTTTTTTTGTTTTTTTTGGTTTTTTTTTTTGTTTTTGTTTAATGGAATTGTAAAAAAAGAAGATGTGGTATGATTGCAAATGAAACAACTCTCCATCAGAGGCCAAATGACATAAAAGTTAACAAAAGTTATGCCATAACTATGTTTGAAGTACAGTTATGTACTGTCTTTCGGATACAAACCGCATGATATTTCTTTTGGTGAGCGACGTCATTCGATACAAAAATTGACAAAATATGTTATTAAAATTTGCAACTTGTAGCCCTGAAACGCATTTTGATTTTGTTGAAATATGTAAAATTGTTCATATACTATTATATCTTCAATTTCCACATTAAGAATTGACAACTTTTAGATTTTGACCCTCTGAGTAGTGAAAAAAAAGGGGAAACATGGCCTACCTCTTTACCCTAGATAGTATATTTTCTTTTGTCGTTGATGCCCTCAAATAGTTTACATATTTGGCTTTTCATACTTTTAGTTTCATACCTGGTAAAGCTGATTGTAGAAACACATTCCGCGCATGAGTATCATATCATAAGTTACTGAAACCAATATAGGGAGGTAGGTTTGACCTGAATCTTACAAAATATGTCGCCCATTTCATGGTTCACACTATCATAAAAAATGTAAGCTTTTAACTGAACATACCACTCCGCAGAAATAGTGACAAATCTTAAGTAATCTGTACAAATAGATTTTCGTTAATTTCGTTGATCATTGATGCTTATTAATCATGTTTAAAATATATTAAAAAACAATGTGTTGGTAAATACAAATGAGACAGCAATCCAACATAACAACAACGATATCTAGAGGTCCAAACATATGTCCATGGAATATGTCAAGATCTAAATCCGCCAAAGAGCAGAAAAAGCGGGAACTTTCCAGAGACTATCATTGATCTTTCATCAACACAAAATATTATGAAAGACAGAAAACATTTACAAGTTCATGTAATGACTTAATTTTTTTACGACTGGTTAAAACGGTTTACTATTATAGTATAACTGATTAAACATTCAATTTTAGAATAGTATTCGACGAGTGACCGAACAACACAATAATTTACGAATGCTCGTAGTGCATGAGTTAATTTGTCATTGCTTTTTGGTCACGAGTTAAATTGTGTCTTTTCGATTCCAGTATATTAATTTTTGGATAAGTTATTCTTCCATCAAATTGACTTTTATAAGGAATATATTTTATACGCATTCTCTTTTCGTTTAGCCAGGGTTGGTGGCTCATCAGGCCGGAACACAGGCTACGATTTATTTTGAATTTAAATCATCCACAAGGTCATGACAAATCTCATTGTTGAATTAACCGTAAATAATGTGCAGGCATGTAAGCAGTTGCCTACTTTTGTGTGCCAACCTGAAAAATGATAACAAGAGAGAGAGAAAAAAAGTGTTATTTGATAGTTCTTGATTTGACACCGGACTTCGTAGTACATGTATTGTACCCGTGACCTCTTGAAATGTAAAATCGAAACCCTATTCACGATTTTATTCAGTATGCTTGCATAAAACTGTCTGCATTCGTTACGACAATCCATAAAAACCTGTCACATGACATTTGCCACTAGTCAAGACGAGATTTATTCACGTCAGTAAGTTACAAATGCAAAGTATTATTTGTTGTTAAAGATGTTCGCTCCTCTGTTTCAAAATCACAAGCTTTTTAAAAGACTGTAATAACTTGATAGTACAAAATGTATATAAACAAAGGAACTTAAAAAGCAGAAAAAAATGAAAGGTCCTTGTTTTTAAAATATGATCGATTTAAAATTTTGCGGGAAATAATTGTCTCTATATTGTATTGTACACCCAACATTGGAACTTTTTTTCTTTCAATAACTATGAAAAAAAATACAAGGATTTTATAAGATTTTCAAAAACGGCTTTTTAAACTATTTGTATTATAATAAGTGCAAGGATAAAAACAGATGATTCCGAATACCTTACAGAAAGTTAAAAACAAGCGCAGCGAACAGTCGGTGGCATAGCCTGAATCGTGTCATTATCACCTCTAGTCACAACGGTCGCAGTTGTCAGAAATTTTATGGCAATTCTACGTAAAATCACCATTTTCAACAATTCGTCGAGTAGTAAGCGTTTAACTATAATGAAAATTGTTATAAAAAGATTAAGGACAAGTCGCCGTTGAGTTTTATTTGATGATCAAAAAGAATGTCTTTTTAAGCAGGAAAATCGGTTTCTGTCAAGACCAGTCATCAGATTAGTTTTTGTTTTCTTAATGATTAAAGATTGTTACTAAATGAAAATTGTATTTCCGGATGTTCAATGGTGTAGCTTCTTGAAATCTGTTCAGTAGTAAAAGTATGCCATTAACCTATTTAG